CCCCTCAACTAAGGGGGGACTACTGTACCACATTTTGTTTATCCATTCATCTGTTGAATATTTGGGTTGTTTCCACCTTTTGGCTATTATGAATAATGCTGCTATAAATATTCGTGTACAAGTTTTCAAGAGGACATATGCTTTCATTTCTTTGGGGTCTATAGCGAGGAGTGGAATTTCTAAGTCATATGATAACTGTTTAATCATTTAAGTAACTGCCAGATTATTTTCCAAAGTGGCTTCATCATTATACATTCCCACAAGCAGTGTACAGGGGTTCTGATTTCTCCACATCTTCACCAACACTTGTTATTATCTGACTTTTTGATTCCAGCCATCCTAAAGAGTATGAAGTGGATCTATCACATCATGGTTGTTTTGCATTTGCCTCGTGAATGATGATGTTCAGCATTGTTTCATGTGCTTATTGGCCATTTATATATATCATCCTTGGAGAAATGTCCATTCAGATCCTTTGCTCATTTTTATTTGTCTTTTATTATTTAATTGCAAGAATTCTTTTTTTTTTTTTTTTTTGAGACAGAGTCTCGCTTTGTTGCCCCAGCTAGAGTGAGTGCCCTGGCGTCAGCCTAGCTCACAGCAACCTCAATCTCCTGGGCTCAAGCAATCCTGCTGCCTCAGCCTCCTGAGTAGCCGGGACTACAGGCATGCGCCACCATGCCTGGCTAATTTTTTCTATATACATTAGTTGGCCAATTAATTTATTTCTATTTATAGTAGAGACGGGGTCTTACTCTTGCTTAGGCTGGTTTTGAACTCCTGATCTTGAGTGATCCGCCTGCCTCAGCCTCCCAGAGTGCTAGGATTACAGGTGTGAGCAACTGCACCCGGCCTGCAAGAATTCTTTATATATTCTAGATACAAGTTATCAGATATATGGTTTATACAGATTTTCTCCCATTCTGTAGGTTGTCTTTTCATTTTCTTAAAAGTGCCCTGCACAAATTTTTTAATTTTGATGAAGTCTAATTTATAGTTTTTGTTGCTGTTCATGTGTTTTTATGTAATACTAAGAATCTATTGCCAAATGAGATATTTATCCCCTTGTTTTCTTCTAATAATTTTATAGTTTTAGCTCTTATATTTAGATCTGTGAGATAATTTTAGTTAATTTTCATATGTGGTATAAGGTAATGGTCAAACTTTATTCTTTTGTAGGCAGATATCCAGTTGTCCCAACACCATTTGGTGAAAAGATTATTCTTTCCCCCATTGAATAATCCTGTCATCCTGGTGGAAAATTAGTTGACCATTGACATGTGGTTTTATTTCTGGACTTTCAATTCTATTCCACTAATCTCCTATATATGTCTATCCTTATGCCAGTACCATACTATATTTTGGTTACCATTGCTTTGTAGTAAGTTTGGAAATCAGGATGTATGAATCCTCCTACTTTTTCAAGATTGTTTTGGCTCTTCTAAATCCCTTGAAATGCTATGTAACTTTTAGAATTAGTTTGCCAATTTTTACAAATAAGGAAGAGGGGGGTCATGGATTCCAGAGCTGGTTAAGCAGGCAATTCATTTAGCCTTTATTTGATAAAATGTTTCCAAACTTCAGACTAGATCAGGAGGGTGCAAACTTAGTTTTTTAAAATAAGACTAGTTTCCTATAAACTTTTTTGGTCAAGGGCCAGATAGTATTTTAGGGTTTGTGGGCCATATGGTCTCTATTGCAATTACTCAACTTTACCATGTAACATGAAAGCAGCTATAGATAATATGTAGCAAATTAGTGTGGTTGGGGTCCAATAAAATTTTATTTGCGGACACAGATATGTGTCACAAAATATTATTCTACTTTTGATTCTTTTCAACCATTTAACATGTAAAAACCATTCTTAGCTCAAGGCCACACAAAAACAGGTAGTAGGCCAGTGGTTTTCAGGCTGTACTTCACCAACCTATGGTCTAGACCATTAAATTTCTTGTCTGGAGTCAGCGTCATAGCCCCAGCTGAGTATTAATAACTTTGATTTGAATTATTTCCTTGAATTATCTCTGGGTTCTTCACTGAATAAATGCAGTCAAAATTCATGTCTTTGGTCTCATATAAAAAACATACACATATACATTCACACTTGTATCAATCTGGGTTTAATCAGAAGACAGAAACCATATAGTAATTTTAATGGGAAATTCAACATAAAAAATTATTAGACAATAATGAGAGAATAACTATAAATATTGAAAAAAATCCTACAGCTAAGGGAGAGTACCCAAGGAAGGATAAACTTGGAAAGAAAGTTCATTCCTAACAGCTCACTGGAGAAGCTGGGGGGTTGTCTAGGCCAGAGCTGCTCCAAAGTCACTAGGCAAGCAGGAATAACCTTCTGGGTCACAAATAAGCCAAAGCTGACAGACAGGTGCACAGAGGAAGTTGAGAATGCAGAGATTGGGGGTGTTGATGCTGACATAAGGCCTGGGTTATGTGGTGTCTGTGTGGGGAAGGCCCAAGGAAACAGATAGAGCCAAGGCTGATGGGTAGATGAGTGGAGGGGCCAAAGCACTGCTGGAAATGGAGGCTATAGGAACCTAGTGAACTCCTGTGCACAGCTTGGGCTGGGGCAGCTAAGGGCAGCTGCTGGAGCCCTGGTGTGCATGCACTGGAGCTGAGTAGAGGGTCACAGGAACAGCCACCTACACTGGGGAGGCTCTGAGCCTCTGCGTAGGATGGAAGTCAGACGGCCTGCTTGCTAGACAGCCAGTTCTGTGGGTCCCCCAGCATATATACCTGTGGGGCTGAGAAAAGGGTGTATGAGCAGCAACCTGGGCTGGGGCACAGGCCTGTGCTGTTTGGGTTCCCAGCTAAGCCACCTGTGCCTGAGTGAAGAGCTAGAGAAAACATGGTGGCCAATCAGTGGAGAAAGCTGTCCTGCAGGCATTTAATGTGGGAGAAAACTTCACTGGCCAAGGAATGTAAAGGATAAAGAGTACTTTGTAGGGGACTGGTGAAAGAGCAATCTGACCCAAGAAAGAGGGCCCTTCTTCCTGTAGTGTTGTCCAGTGCCCTCTACTGATAAACCTTACCCAGGTGGCAGAGGAAGCAAAGAGTCCAGATCCATTTTTACAGATCAGGTAAATCTAGAGCTGAAACAGTAAGTTAATAACTGACAATTCCACAGGCTCACAAACATATTCTACCACACAGATAGGCCACAATCCCAAATTTGGGAAAAGGAGCACAGCCAGTTCAACCCACCCTCAGAGAAGGAACTAGTCTTAAGATAAACACAGATAAGAGAGATGTTGACTTTCTACTTGGATTCCTGGAGGGGTGAGAACTCTTTTGCAAATATGTCTTCTGTTGGAAAGCTGTGTTTGTGGGAGTTCTCATATATTCTCCCCTGTCATCTATATCCAGGCAAACACCACATGCTTTGAAGACAAATCCTACGAAGTCTGTCTTCTCTTTCAGCCCACTCTGCTATCGCCCTAGTTCAGATATAAATTGTGCCTGGACAACTGCCAAGTTTATCCTGGTCTCAGTGCTATATCACACTTTATCTTTCATTCCCTTAAGTTTCCTCTTAGATTCCCTGCAGCATCTCTTCCAGATCTCCAACTCCATGTAAAATTTCTTTTTCAATATATTCATCAGGAAATCTGATCTGAAATGTTTTTTATAATTTTACTAGCTTAGTGAGGCATACCTCCAATATTACACAATTTATTTACTCTAAGATTTTTACAGGTTGATCCCTTCTCTCAAAAGACAAGCAAGCCTCTTTTACTGGCAGTTTGCTACTAGAACAGAACACAGAAGAGAGGAAGCTCAGACAAAAATTATTTTAAGTAGTCTTAAAATTCACAAAATTAATTTCTCTTCTTCCCAGCCAAAAAATAGCTTTCTGGTTCCCAAAGGAATTGGAACGTAGGGCAAAGGTAAGAAATGGTGACTAGCAGCAGTGAGGGTGCTGGCTGAACCAGCTGCTCTGACTGAGAGCTCAGTGAGCTGGGTAGGTAGGTTGGGACTTGACCTTGGGGTCTACATCAATAGCAGATGACAGCATAGCCTACCCCTGTGTGAAGGCGTTGTGAGACTTCTCCAGTCCTCCACTGTTGCCCTAACACTCAGAGAAGGAATGCTTTTATCCTTTTAAGAACAATGGTGAGTGAAACTCTAGACATCTAGTTGTTTCTTTTTTTTAAGATTCTAAAATGTCATGTTTCAACCTGGCTCAAATTTCTCTTTAATTAAAGAAGAGCTGAGTGGTTTGGCTATTCTTCAAAACAATTTCTAGATTAAAATTAATGAGTAAGGTACAGGGCTAGATAAAAATAATCTTTCTACAATGAGAACATAGGTTTCATCCCTTATGTTTTATGCACATTAGGAGAAAATAAAAAAAGCATGTGATATTTACTAATGAAAAAAAGATTATGCAATGAGAGAATCTCATGTTTATACTACCATCTGTTGTTTTAGAAAAAAAAAATTACAAAATATGTGCTTACTTTGAATAGATGAAACATACACATACAGCTATTTTAAAATTAAGGTAAAGCTTTATGTGTATAAATTATTTCACCTCTAATCTGAATCACTGTACCTAATTTCATAACCAGGTGCTATCAAGTTGCCAGCCATCTTGAAAGTCCCCACAACCCAAATACTCTGTGACTCCAGGTGACTCATTTGGACTCATCACAAGAGGTACTACCTTACTGCCCCCAGTAGTCCCATTTCTACAAGTTTTTTGGTCTAATTTCATTGTTTTTGCCCATTGCGATTAGTAGGTCAAATGTTCCCATAGTAAAATTGATGTTCATTTTTCGCGATCCACTACCATTTTTTCAGAAAACTCACCAAAAATCAACATGACAAAGACAATTCTAAAACTGGAAGTGAGGAAGAATGATGGTGGGTTCAGGATTCAAGGTCATGGTAACCAGGCATGGTGGTATGTGCCATTAGTCCCAGCTACTGAGGAGGCTGACTCAAGAGGATCTCTTGAGCTCAGGAATTTAAAAAAAATTCTGCATCATTTTTTCTTTCCACCCTTTTTTTTCCAAGGACAGGTGATGGTTTTCTTTTTTGCTTTTTTCTTTCCCAGTGGCAGAACATAGGGAGGGGTGTTGAGATTATCCAGAATGAGGAGGGTCTATCTCTTCCCTCTTCAGACCCCATTACATACCTACATACTTTCCCCTTAGTGGCTTCCAGTTCTGACCAGAAGCAAAATGTTGGTGTTATAGGGTTAGTTCTGATATAAGGACTAGAGGGGAATCTGGCAAAGGGTGGGGACCCACACTCCCAGGTGATCCCATCATTTTTCCCCACCGGAGCTGGAAAGTGGATGTGATGGTTTGAACATGCCCTCCAAAACTCATGTTGCAATTTGCCACTGTGATGGGATTAAGAGGTAGGACCTTTAAGAGGTGGTTAGCTCAGGAGGGCTGAATCCTCATGAATGGATTAATGTCCATATCACAAGAGTGGGTTAGTTATCACTGGAGTAGGTTCCTGATTAAAAAGAAAAGCTTAGCCACCTTTATCTCACATATTCACTTGCCCTTCCACCTTCTGCCATGGGATGATGCAGCATGAAGGCCCTTGCCAGATACCAACACCATGTTCATGAACTTCCCAACCTCCAGAATCATGAGCCAAATAAATTTCTGTTCATTATAAATTACTCAGTATGTACAGCAGAAAACAAATTAAGGCAGCTGACTTCATGCCTGGGGAAGTGGGTAGAGGCCTTGGAGCCAGTGACTCTCATACATTTGCTAGAGCCTTGGCAGACCCTCTCCAGTTAATAGTTATTGGCCCAGGACCTAAAAGACAGAGCTAGGGTATGTGGAGTTGTCAAAAACCTAGGCAATTTGGGCTCTGAGGGAGGATCGGAAAAGTGTGTGGCTAAAAAGCAGGTTGTTGGTCTGAAAAACAATAGAGGGGGTATGGGTAGATTGTCTTAGACCAGTTATTAGAGGGGTGGTATGTGGGTACCATTAGCAGAATTGGACTCTAGGACTGGAGAGCTGATGGGACATGGTATTGGAGCTGTGTTTTAGGGGCCTGCCTGTACATCCATTATTGTTGATCTGACATGGAGAGGAGCTAAGAGCCCCAAAGCAATGACTCATGACTGGAGAAGGGTTTGGGTGTGGTTAAAGGACCTGCCCCTGGAACCTGGAAGGCTGCAGAGGGGCTGTGGTTAAAGGGTCCCTGGAACATGTCCCTAGAGGACATGAACAGATCATTAAGGAACCACAATACTTCAATGGGATAGAGAAGATTCAGCAAAGAGAACTGCATGGAGACCAGAAAGAAAGGACACTCTGGGGAGGGAGCTTTCACAGAAGCTAAAGGAGATAATCAGTGGGGAGAAGCAGCAGCCAGTCCCAGAGACCTGGGACACGCCCTCCTTGCAGCTGGCCTGTCTCAACATAATCACTCCTCCCATGAAAAGGATCAGATTCTCTAAGAAATCTATTAGATTGACTCTCAAAGGTTGAATTCATGCAGGAATCCCAGGCTGTCAATCTTAATTCCTTGAGCCTTTCCGGTCAGATGAGTGACTAAGATATACACAGCCTGAGCTTATTAAAGAAATTTTGACTAAAATAAAAGGATAGAAAAACAGGGGAAAGAACTTGTGCCTGAAACTAAAACAACATATTTTTTTTAACTTTGTTTAATATAAGACAGGGTCTCAAATTCTTGGGCTCAAGAGGTCCTCCCACCTCAACCTCCTGAGTAGCGGGGACTATAGGCATGAGCCACCATGCCCAGTAATCATTTTTTGATTACTTAAATAAAGCTTACTTTTTTATTCCATCTGGTTGCAAAAAGTGTGGGAGCAGGGAGTCTATTTAATTGTAATTGCCATCTTCACTCACAGAGTTCAGGGGAAGCCAACACATCTCCTGAAACCCCCTCAGAGCTAGGTGAGGTAGTGATTTGTGGAGGCAAGACCTGCCCTGGTAAGTCTGTTGAGGAGAGACAGAGATAAAGCTCCACCCACAAACCCTGCCCACACAGGTCTTCTCCCTCAGTGTGTCCTCTGGTATAAGAGGAGGCTTCACTTACCGCTAAGTGTCTCACATTCTCCCTCCCCACTCACATAAAAGCTTGTCCCAAAAAAGCTGTTCTCTGACGAGGTGTGCCTTTTTCCTAAGTCCTTGCCCATTCTCCCTGCACACAGAGCTTCTACTCTGTGTACTCTGTGATTTGTTGAGGGCTGATTTATGGCCACAGCCTCAGCCACACTCCTTTTACACCACAGATGTCTTAGGTCAGATTCCCTGGAGAGACAATTAGATGGAGAATTGAGGGTTAACTGGGGAGACTCAACGGTAGCGCTGGGCAGAAAGAAGCTGGTCCACAATGTGTTTGCAACTGATAGATCATTCAGTCCAGTGGACCTCTGGATCTGGGATGGACCTTTGGAGTTGTCCCAGTTAAGTCAAAGAGTGGGGTTTTGTCCCCCTCCATCAACCAGTCATTGTGCAGCTCTCTGGGGCTGAGAGCCAGTCCAGGTGAGGAATGCAGCTCTGGCAGCAGCAGCACCATTCTCTCAAGCAGCTGCGCTGTCAGCCCTGACAAGCTCATCTGGGTGGAGCTCCAAAGTGCCCCGTGTGAGACAGGTCCTCCCTGCAGTGTGTGGCTACAAAAGCCTTGCCCACACTCCCTGCAAACAAAGACCTCCTCCTGAGAGTGCCACCTTGTGCCTGTTTCTTCTTTTGCAAATGCTCAACACTCCCTGAACATGTGACTGGTGCTGGATGCTCACCAAATGTTGATTCATTGTTGCAGCCTCACCCACAGTCCCTGCACATACAAAATTTCTCCCCTAAGTGTATCTTCTCATGTATGCTGAAGGCTGACTTATAGCTAGTTACCCTTTCTGTACTCAGAGGCTCCTCTCCTACATGTGTCCCCTGGTGCCTGATGAGGGTTGACAGCTTTCTGAAACTTCATTTACACTCCAGCACACATGGGGACTATTCCCCGTGAGTCTCTCTGGTGTAAGATGAGATCTGACTGATTGCTCAAGTCTGCCCATGAGCCCTGCATACACAAGGCTTCTCCCTCAGTGTGTCCTCTGGTGTCTGAGGAGATCTGACATGTGGCCAAAGCCTCGCCCACACTCCCTGCAAACATAGTACTTCTCCCCTGAGTGTGTCCTCAGGTGGACAACGAGCCGTGCCCTCAAGCTAAAGGCCCGGCCACACTCACTGCACACGTAAGGCTTCTCTCCTGAGTGTGTCCTCTCATGCACAATGAGGGTTGACTTGTCACAAAAGCCTCGCCCACACTCCCTACAAACATAAGGCTTGTCATCTGAGTGTGTCCTCCGGTGTTTGATAAGATTTGACTGGTGGCAAAAACCCCGCCCACACTCCCTGCAAACATAGTACTTCTCCCCTGAGTGCGTCCTCTGGTGGCCAAGGAGGCGTGACCTCCAGCTAAAGCCCCGGCCACACTCACTGCACATGTAAGGCTTCTCTCCTGAGTGTGTTTTCACATGCGCAATGAGGGTCGACTTGTCACAAAAGCCTTGCCCACACTCCCTACAAACATAAGGCTTGTCATCTGAGTGTGTCCTCTGGTGTCTGATGAGATTTGACTTTCGGCCAAAGCCTCGCCCACACTCCCTGCAAACATAGTACTTCTCCCATGAGTGCGTCCTCTGGTGGCCAAGAAGGTGTGACTTCTGGCTAAAGCCCCGGCCACAATCACTGCACACATAAGGCTTCTCCATTGAATGGGTCCGATGGTGTCTGATGAGGGTTGACCTGTCTTTAAAGCCTCGCCCACAATCATTGCATACGTAAGGCTTCTCTCCTGAGTGTGTCCGTTCATGTATGACAAGGGTCGATTTGTCACAAAAGCCTCGCCCACACTCCCTACAAATGTAAGGCTTGTCATCTGAGTGTGTCCTCTGGTGTCTGATGAGATTTGACTTCTGGCTAAAGCCTCGCCCACACTCACGGCACTCATATGGCTTCTCCCCTGAGTGTGTCCTCTGGTGTTTAATAAGGATTGACATCTGGCTAAAGCCTCGGCCACACTCACTGCACACATAAGGCTTCTCCATTGAATGGGTCCGATGGTGTCTGATGAGGGTTGACCTATGTTTAAAGCCTCGCCCACACTCCCTGCAAACATAGGGCTTATCCCCTGAGTGCGTCCTCTGGTGGACAAGGAGAAGTGATCTCTGGTTAAAGCCTTGGCCACACTCCCTACAAACATAAAGCTTCTCCCCTGAGTGCATGCTCTGGTGTTTTCTGAGGGTTGACTTATCACTAAAGCCTTGTCTACACTCCAGGCAAGCGTAGGGTTTCTCACCTGAGTGTGTCCTCTGGTGTCTGATGAAGGATGACTTCTTGCTAAAGCCTCGCCCACACTCGCTGCAAACATAGGGCTTCTCCCTCAAGTGAGTCCACTGATGTCTATCGAGGATGGACTTATTTCTAAAGCTTTGCCCACACTCTCTGCACCTATAAGGGTTCTCTTCTGAATGTGTTCTCTGGTGTCTGTTGAGGCTGGACTTCTGGCTAAAGCCTCGCCCACATTCACGGCATTCATATGGCTTCTCCCCTGAGTGTGTCCTCTGGTGGTTAATAAGGATTGACATCTGGCTAAAACCTCGGCCACACTCACGGCACACATAGGGCTTCTTCCCTAAGAGGATTCTCGGGTTTGTAAGAAAGTCTGATTCCAGGCTATAGTCTGGTTCATACACTCCACAGTTGATTGCTCCAAATCTCAAGGTTTCTAATTCTTTCAATCCTTTGTCTGGTTGCACAAGGTTTATCCTTTGGGCTGAGATGGGCTCTATTTCCACCACCATGTTGCCTTCACTAGGACTTGCTGACTGTCCTTGGAGTGGGCTAGAGAATGCCCTTGAGGTCTCTCTCTCCTCTGTCTTTGCAGACGAGGGTTTGGAGCTGACTTCTCCCTCTTGATCTTCTGTGTTTTTACTCCAGCAGCTTTGACCAGAACACTGCTGCTCCTGCTGCCCTGGCCTGGAATTTCCTGGATGGAAGTGATTTTCTGCACATAAGCCCGGGAAGATCTGAAGCTCATGTTGGCTGAGGAATTGCTGACAGGAGGTGGCCAGAAGACAGAAGGGACAAGCGTAGGTTTCTGGCTGTGGTTCTGCTGAGGAAAGAAAGTTTTCCATTAGAGCAGTCATAGTGGGGCTGCTGGGTTATTCTGTCTTATATTAGGTCCCAGAGTATCTTTCTGTCACTTCTGTAATTGATACTATATGTACAGTACAATTTGATCCTAACCAATAACTCCCTTACATTCCATTTTACACATTACATTTCCTACTGCAATCCAGAAAACCCACACCAAAAACATCTTCTATATGTCAGACTAGGAAACTTTTAAATCTACTCTGTAAACAGCTTCAATTATACTTAGGCTTTCTCTTCTAGTAAAATCATCTAAGCCATACACACTCACATTGATATATACTGTCCACAACTTTTGTGTTCTACTTGAAGATAACGGTCTCTATGATCTATGTGGAAATCTCCTTCATGGCTTTTCTTATTATAAAAAAGGGACCGATAGACACAAAAAGCCAGTCTGGAGGCTTTCAAATGTAGGAGAAAATATGAGAAATATTGGTTAAAGAGATTTTATATGGGCCAGGCGCAGTGGCTCACGCCTGTAATCCTAGCACTCTGGGAGGCCGAGGCGGGCGGATTGCTCGAGGTCAGGAGTTCAAAACCAGCCTGAGCAAGAGCGAGACCCCATCTCTACTATAAATAGAAAGAAATTAATTGGCCAACTAAACATATATATACAAAAAGTTAGCCAGGCATGGTGGCACATGCCTGTAGTCCCAGCTACTCGGGAGGCTGAGGCAGAAGGATTGCTTGAGCCCAGGAGTTTGAGGTTGCTGTGAGCGAAGCTGATGCCATGGCACTCACTCTAGCCTGGGCAACAAAGCAAGACTCTGTCTAAAAAAAAAAAAAGAAGTTGAACATCTTTTCATACACTTAGGGGCCATTTTTAAATGGTTAGAAAAAAGTAAAAAAAGTAGTGATATTTCATGATATATAAAAATTATATGAAATTCAAATTTCAGTGTCCATAAATAAAGTTTTATTAGAACATTCATCTGTTTATGCATTATTTATGGCTGCTTTTGTATTACAACAGCCAAGCTGAGAGTTGTTACAGAGACCACCCCACCTGCAAAACCCAAAATAGTTACTGTTTGGACCTTTAGAAAAAAAGTTGGGGCTGGGCGCGGTGGCTCACACCTATAATCTTAGCACTCTGGGAGGCCGAGGCGAGGGGCGGGGGGATTGCTCAAGGGGCGGGGGGATTGCTCAAGGTCAGGAGTTCGAAACCAGCCTGAGCAAGACCCTGTCTCTACCATAAATACAAAGAAATTAAATGACAACTAAAAAATATACACAAAAAATTAGCATGGTGGCACATGCCTGTAGTCCCAGCTGCTCAGGAGGCTGAGGCAGTAGGATCGCTTGAGCCCAGGAGATTGAGGTTGCTGTGAGCTAGGCTGATGCCATGGCACTCACTGTAGCCTGGGCAACAAAGTGAGACTGTCTCAAAAAGAAAAAAGAAAAAGTTGGCCAACCCCTGATCTAGAATAATGTTGTAAACAATAGATTTATCAAGCCAGATTTAAAGAATCATTATATGTTTTTTTGTTTTTGGAGACAGAGTCTCACTCTGTTGCTAGAGTGCTGTAGCGTCACCCTAGCTCACAGCAACCTCAAACTCCTGGGCTCAAGCAATCCTCCTGTCTCAGCCTCCCGGGTAGCTGGGACTATAGGCATGTACCACCATGTGTGCCTCATTTTTTCTATATATTTTTAGTTGTCTCTACAATTACTATTATAAAATAGTAGAGACAGGGTCTCACACTTGCTCAGGCTGGTTTTGAACTCCTGACCTTGAGCCATCTGCCCGCCTTGGCCTCCCACAGTGCTAGGATTACAGGTGTGAGCCACCGCGCCTGACCATATGTATGTATGAGGCAGGTGGATTTATAAAACCCAAAAGCCACAGAAATTTGATGCTTAATTTTAACTTCTGTCACAGAAGGCATCTCTCACTACTCTCCCCTTGCAAACTATGGCCCCAGCCTCACTGGCCTTCTTGCAGTTTCTTACACTGGGTGGGCACATCCTTTCTTTAAAGCCCTAGTGTCAACGATTCCCTCCACCTGAAATGCTCTTACCCTACATAGCCAGAGTTTTAACTTCCTCACCACACTTTCTTGGGTCAAATGTTACTTCCTTATTGATTTCAAATACCCAATTTTAAAATTAAGCCAGCCATCTTATCACATTTAATACCCCTTTATCCTGCTTTATTTTTTTTTTACTATGTATCAGTTATCACCTCTTAACATACCATATTATAATATCCCTGTATATGAAGCTTTTTGTTTGTTGTCTGTCTCCTTACACTAGAAAGTAAGCCCAGTAGAGGAAGGGATTACTAGTTCATTTATTAATGTATTCTAAGTATCTAGTCTGGTACATAGTAGGTGATCAATAAATCTCTACTGAATTAATAATGAAGGAAAGGACACAGCCTTACCCAATGAGAGCAGATTCCTGCAATTCTCCAGCATCACCTCTTTGTATAGGTTCTTTTGCTCCAAGTTCATTGTCTTCCATTCTGCCTCTGTGAAGATCACAGCCACATCCCTGAATGTAACTGGTGCCTACAAACAAGCAGTAAATTAACTTACAGCAAGTCATCATTGATTTTCCCTGTGTGAGGAGCACAGCTGGTGGCCCTGGAAAGTCTGAATATGTAAGAAGTTGAATTGATTCTTTTCAGAGTACACAGCTCTCCATATGACATTCTTCTGGGCATTACTATGTGTCTGGCTTTATGTTAAAACCTGTGAGGAACATAATTGATGCATAAAACACATCCTAGGCCCTTGAACACTTACAATTTAATTGGAGAAATGATTTGTAAATCAATTTGAAAACCTCAAGTGTTCAGGATGGTGACCTTGAGGATTTGTAATGAAGGAATTCAGAGATGGAACAGCAGAGGATAGGCTGGAGAGGAAAAAAGGCATCATGGACTTGGGGCTTGTTCTGGGCAGTAGGCAGTGGTAAAGATTAAAGGGAGAAAATGGAGGGAAACTTTGACTACAGAGAAAAATGGGAGTGAATGATGGGGTCTGGAATAAGTATTTTTGAAAAGTCCATTACTAAATGGGATCTGTAAAATCCCTGTCTTTGCCTATGTATTATTTTAACAACCTTTTTTCAATAAAGCCCCTAATGCTTCACTTATCTCCCTAAATGTTGAGCGCCTTCTCCCTTCCCAAGAAAGACAATATACATCTATTTTCTGGGAAATGAGCCAGCAATTCAGAAAGGAAAAAAAAAAGTAACCCCAACTCACAAGTACTTGGGGCCTTCCCTCCTTTTCTTGGGGCCAGGAAGTATAATTAGAAGGCACACCTAGGGGAAGAAAAAGCAGCTATGAGAAACCAGACCACCCATGATGCTTTCAGAGTAGCTTTTCTGAGCCTTAGGATGGAGAAAGTAGCCACTACACTCAGCTGTGACCTTTGAAGCATTCTCAAGTGAACCTGGAGCCTTGGCACCCTCTTCACCTCTCCAGACCCTCAATAATTCTCACCTCTTGCCTTTTTATTGTGAGACAATTTCTTCATGATCTCCATATCTTCCTCATTCTCTGAAGGCAAAATCTTCTCCCCAGCTTGCTCTCATAGTACAGAAGAATCAGGCAACATCATGGTCCCAGAGTCAGCCCAGTATATGCCTTGATATGCTGCCTGAGGGCCAGATAGATGTTATTTCATCTTAAAGTGGATTTCTGCTGTGTTGGGTTACGTCTTCTAAACTTAATTGTAAAAGACCATCTTGTTTCCATGCAGCCAGAACCTAAGAGATGGAGAAGCAATTTGATGTTGCTGGGGCCTTTATTATAGGCCCTAAGCCTCACACACCCTCCTCTCACACCCTGCTCACTCAACAGAGTGTCTACATGGGCTCCATGGATTTTCTACCTTCATTCATTCTACTTTCATTTCTAAGCCCTCAAGTCTTTCTCCTGTCACTCTCCCTTAGCTTTCAAAATGTACAACTTCTTCCACCTCTGCATCTCAGATTCAAACTCCATTTCTTGGATCAATTTCTGCTACCTGGAGCCTGAGTCAAAGAGAAGACAGAAGATAACATAATGCCTAGGGAGAAAGAGCCTCTGAATGTCTTCTTCCAAACCAACCAGGGCCTGCAGAACTCAGCTTCTGACTCTCCTGGCCCAAGGTTCCATATGTGTTCAATCCTCTATGTCCCCATATTCTCAGGAGTTTCAGGGATCTAAACTGAGTCCTTCTTAAACTAAGGGAGAGCTCCAGGTCTCACAGTGACTTTGTAAATATAACCCCCTACCTTCCATTTCTATATATGTGCATCACATGACTATATCACAGTGGCACATTTGTGTCTCCTGATGGGCCCATGTCAAAATTATCCACTCATGTGATCCCAAGGAGCTATGCCACCCTCAGAAGCTCCTCAGACACCTCGTCCAGGATCTCAGCCCAAATGACAACAGGCCTCCCAATGCCTGGCACCCTTCTGGGGCTAGCTGGGGTTCCCCTGAGAAGCTCTTGTGATTCATCCCCCCAAACCAGAGGCAGAGATGATCATTCTCTCTTTTGTCCTCAGCATCTCACCTTAATCATACTGTATTGCAATTTCTTTCTTTATATGACTGTCTTTATTAAAATGTGAGCTTCTTGTAAGAAGAAATGGATCTCAGTCTTTTTGCTAATCTAATCCTAGTGATTAGGATAAAACAGGCCTCTACAGTAGGTAGACTTTATCATCATTTGCAATTATTTGTTTCTCTATAAAAGGATTGTACTTCCTGACCCTGACATCAGGCGTGGCCTCATGACTTGCCTTAGACAATGAAGTATGAGTGAAAATGACAGTGCCATTTCTAAGCATGGCATGATTCCACCATTTCTCTTGTCCTAACAACAGCATGTTCCCAAATGGGACCGTGGTTCTATGGTAAAGGTCATAGTCCAGAACTAAAGGCAATCTACAAAGGAGGAGGAATAAGACTGGGTTTGACGTTAGATTGCTGTGTGAACCATTGTGATTTGGGGGTCATGTGTTACTGCAGAACAACTTAGCCTAAGCTGGTAAAGACAGCCCTCCTCCTCCTAGTCACACTCGTATCTGTGGCTAACATTTGTAAAGCAGGGTCTGTACCAAGCACAGAGTTGTACTCATCTTCACAACACAGCCAACTGTTCTCAACACAGCCAACAACAGACACTGCTGTTCTTTCCATCTCACATAGGAGGACACTGAGGCACTCAGAGGTTGGTTCGTTTGTCCTTAAGATTACAGTGTCAGACCAAGCCTAGAATCCAAGATTCTCATTCCAAAGCCCTTTTTCTTTACCATTGCCTAAAATAATGTCCACTGAAAAATGACTAAATGAATGGGCAAAAAGCAGACAGGGTTTGAAATTGACCCTGCGGAAGACAGAACCCTCAGAGTGAAATGGAGAAAAGGATCTATATAAGTCAGGATGGGCTGAGTTATTCACAAACGCCCCCTGCCCCTAAATCTCAGTGGTTTAATGTAATGAAGGCTTATTTCTCACTTGAGCTCCATGTACCTCATCTGTTAAATGAAATTGTGCCAAGTTACCTTCACTCCAGGACCAAGGCTAACAGCATAGCCTCTACTTGTAAAATGGCCAGTTGAAAGATGGAGAACTATACACAGGCTCTTAGAAATTCTACTCAATTGCTTACCACTCAAGAAGGCAAAAAAAAAAAAAAAAAAAAAGAAAAGAAATTCTACTCAAAGAGACACTTCTGACCATAGCTCATTGGCAAATCAAGTCACATGGTCACTTCTGAGCTCAGCAGGGTAGGACACATACCGATAAGGAGAGGCCAGGCTGGGCATGGTGGCTCACGCCTGTAATCCTAGCACTCTCGGAGGCCAAGGTGGGCGGATAGCTCGAGGTCAGGAGTTCAAAACCAGCCTGAGCAAGAGCAAGACCCTATCTCTACTATAAATAGAAAGAAATTAATTAGCCAACTAATATATATAGAAAAAATTAGCTGGGCATGGTGGCGCATGCCTGTAGTCCCAGCTACTCGGGAGGCTGAGGCAGAAGGATTGCTTGAGCCCAGGAGTTTGAGGTTGCTGTGAGCTAGGCTGACGCCAGGGCACTCACTCTAGCCTGGGCAACAAAGTGAGACTCTGTCTCAAAAAAAAAAAAAAAAGAGAGGCCACAGAGGGGGATGCCAAGATATTCAATTAAGAGGGAAACATGCTACTATAAGGCCAGAAGCCCACAAACCCACTCTCAGCCAGCCCTGGTCCCCACTATTGATTGGCACTTCACAGTGCTAGGATCTGTGGCTATGCCTAGAATGTCAAAATAAAGGACACAGTCCCTACACTTGTCATACAACCAGAGAACAGACAGGGATACCTACTGTTCAGAAGGAACCTAACTCAGCACAGAACAGAATGCTATCAGTGAAGATCTAAAGAAATGAAAAGGATGCTGCTGTTCAGGGAATAAGATAAAGGCTGCCCATCTATCCAAGAAGGAATACTCCAGGCAAAGGGGACAGTCTGATGGAAAGACAAGAGGCAATAGGGAGGGAGGAGGGGAAGAGACTGAGAAAAATGGGTAATTTCCTAGGAGAATATAAATTGCCTAAAATCAAGTCAAAAAAAAAAAAAGAAAAAAGAAAATGAAAAAATTATTAACCAAAGAAAAAATGAAAAAGAAGCCAAAGATCTGCTCCCCAAAAGACATCAGCTTCACATAATTTTATTAGTCAGTTCTAACAAATGTTAAGGAACAGGTAATTCTTGTAATAAATATTAAGTGCTCTAAAACATTTAAAAAATGCTTCCTAACTCTTTCATCAAGGACACCAAAAGCAAGCAAGAGCACTACAGAAAAAGAAAACTAAATGTCAATTCCATTTATAAAATCAGATGTAAAAATCCTAAGCATAAATCATTAGCAAACTGAATTCAGCTGTACCTTGAAGGAATAGTAATGCATTGTGACTAAGTAGACTTTTCCAAAGAATGGCAGGACAGTTTCACATCAGAAAAGCTACTATGGAAGGGAAAAGTTGCATTCTTCTTTCATTAAACCTGACATGCTTTGTATACCTAGTGGAATGTGCTCTGGCTTAGATCACAGAATACAGAATGTATTTCAACTAAGATTAATGTTGTCCGGTAGTTAGGCTGCTTCAGAGGCTCCCTCTCAGCTGAATCTTAGCTGCCGCAGGTGACTCCAACAAAACCTATCTCAAGGCTCCAACCCCCACCCTTGTGCTGATAACAATTGATAAGATAATTCTTATCTTTTTTTTTTTTTTTTTTTTTTTTTTGAGACAGTCTCGCTTTGTTACCCAGGCTAGAGTGAGTGCTGGGGCATCAGCCTAGCTCACAGCAACCTCAAACTCCTGGGCTCAAGCAATCCTTCTGCCTCAGCCTCCCGAGTAGCTTGGGACTACAGGCATGTGTCACCATGCCCGGCTAACTTTTATTTCTCTCTATATTAGTTGGCCAATTAATTTCTTTCTATTTAAAGTAGAGACGGAGTCTCGCTCGTGCTCAAGCTGGTTTCGAATTCTTGACCTCGAGCAATCTGCCCGCCTTGGCCCCCCAGAGTGCTAGGATTACAGGTGTGAGCCACCGCGCCCAGCCAGGAAGTAATCATTCTTATCTTAAACAAGGTAAGAATGTAAGATTAACACTTTCTCTTGCTTATGTAAATGTGCTTGCTAATTAGATTTTTAGAGTGTAATTTTGCCTTTAAAAGGGCCAGTTTTTTTCCTAGCTCATTGCTACTTTCAGTGCCTGCCATTCTGCAGGGCAGAAGTAGTCCTGGCCAGCTAATAAGGACTCACAAATGGACTCAATTCGGTTTCTAAGGTGGTCTTTTCTCGCACTGCGAGACTCTTGCCCCACTCTCCTCGAGCCGCGACCCCTCCTCTAAAACCCAAACTCGCGCCACTCGCCTGCGCCGCCCGCACTCCCCCACCAGCCACACTCCACCCTGGATCCTAACCTAGGCCCGGCCTTTGCCGACACTGGAAGGGACATCCTGGGGCCAAGGACCCAAGTAGGCCTCACTCACCACAGCCAGCAGGACCGGTCCCTCCAGCCATCCGCCGCAGACCTACGCCAGAACTCCGGAAGTACAGTTCCCAGAATGCTCGCAGGCTCCGGCTCCCACTGGCCCTCGTGAAGCCGCTTCTGGGCCGTGCAACTGCCCTGTTAATTTAACAGGACAATGGGGCAGTGGCTACTGCAGCGACAGCCTCCCGTCTCTTTTCTTCAAATACCGATGCTAAAAACAAGTACTGCTTTCCAAGTGACGTAGCTGTCTCTTCAGCCGGTTCTTTAGAGAGACTACCCTCCCCAGAAGCCTCTGCGGCAGCTTCCACATCCGGGGATTCGCTTCCGGATACCGGCGATGGCCAGTCTGACTAGTGAAGCGGTATGGTTTGCAGGAGACCTTTCAGTTCACATTTTCCTTTCTTGGTCTAGCTAAACTCCCTGGGCTAAGGCTCCGTAACATACACATCACCTTACTTGGACACCATCTAGGTTTGACTTCCTGCTTTCCTCGCACCCCTGGGGTCATCATTTTATTTGCGGGTGGGTGAAAGAGGAACAAAGCCATCTCCCCAAGTCTCAGTTGTGCCCTTACCCTCAACTCCAGTGCACTCCTTGGGGTGCCTTGTGGTCAGTTGCCAATTGTCGAAGTTCACAAAGTTAATGACAAACTCTTGTTACTGAAAGTTCACACTTGTCCTTGAGGCCTCATGGGAAGAATGAGCACAAGTGGTTTGAGGAGAAGAAAAGAGGAGTTTTATTAACTTGCAGGCAAATGAGGATGATGGAGACTCTTGTCTGAAATGCCATCGTCCTAATAATAAGCAGAAATACAGAGCTTTTAAAGGGTGGGTTCTCAGTTTCAGTCAATTGCTGTTCAACTACAGTTGATAACCCTGATGGCCCTATCTCCTCTGAAGGCAATCCAGTGACCTCCACCCAGAACCTCCCTCAGCCAGGTCTAGGCTGAACCATCTCCTGTAGCACAAAGAACAAAAGACATTCCTCTACTCCCCCCCACTGCTGGTCTGAGAAGGGGAGGCAGGTTTTAGTTCTCAAAAAGGAGTGGAGGATGTTTTAAAGAGACAGAAAATATTTTTTTCAGGCCATTACCTCTGTTACACTCTCCAGTTCTTGGAGGGTGGCAGCCTTCCTCAGTCTGGAGTCTGGCTCGGGGGCCCATTATGTAAGTTCCCAGTTAAGAACCGGGGCTGTGCTTGTACTTTCTGCAACATGCCAGTTGGGGTTCTGTAAAGCAGGCCTAATTCAGCTCATGGGGAGAGCATTTAAATCATAATGGTAAATAAAAATTAAATTGAATTTTCCCTGGTGCCAAAAGGGGAATAGACCTGTTCTCCCTCCCTTAAGAGAATTTCCATGAAGAATCTATTTGTAAATCATGATGCCATTGTACAGGAAGGTCTATCCAGAACAATTTGACAAAAAAAGAAAAAAAGACCATCTAAATTGGAAAGAAAGAAGTAAAACTATCTTCTTTGCATCTTCACATATTCACAGATGATATGATCTTGCATGTAGTAAACCTTGTATTTCTATAACTCACAGTGAACAATTTGAAAATGAAATTAAGAAAATAATTCCATTTACAATAGCATCAAAAAGAATAAAATACTTAATAATAAATGTAACCAAGGAGGCACAAGACTTATATTAATACACTGAAAATTACAAAATGTTGCTGAAAAAATGTTTTAAAAGATCCAAATAAATGAAACTATGACATGTGTTCATGTATTAGAAGACTTAATATTGTTAAGATGGCAAGACTCCCCAAAGCAATCCACAAATTCAATGTTATCCCTGTCAAAATTTCAATGGCCTTTTTACATAAATAGAAAATCTAACCCTAAAATTCATATGAAATTTCAAGGGACCCCAAACAGCCAAGATAATTTTGGAAAAGAAGAACAAAGTTGGAGGACTAACTTTTCCTAACTTCAAAACTTAATACAAAGCTTTGGTAATCAAAAAGTGTGGTACTGAGATAAAAGGACATAAAGACCAATGGATAGAATCAACAGTTCAGAAATAAAGCCATACAGAAGTGGTCAATTGATTTTCAACAAGGGTGCCAAGAACACTTAATGGGGAAAGAATGGTCTCTTTCTCAATAAATAGTGCTGGGACAACTGGATAACCACATGCAAAAGAGTGAAGTTAAACTTCTGCCTCCCACTATATACAAAAATTAACTCAAAGTGGATCAAAACCTAAATATAAAAACTAAAACTCTTAGAATAAACCATAGGGGTAAATCTTCATGAGCTTGCATCTGGAAACAGTTTCTTAGATATGACACCAAAAGCACAAGCAACAACAGAAAAAAAATTGGAATTTTTTAAAATTTAAAATTTTGTACATCAAAGGACACTATCAGAAAAGTGAAAAGGCACCCCACAGATTGAGAGAAAATATATGCAAATCATGTAGGAATCTAGTATCCAGAATATATAAAGAAGTCTTACAACTCAATAACAAAAAGACAAATGACCCAATTTTACTAATAAAATAGGGAAAAGGGCTGGGCTCAGTGGCTCATTCCTGTAATCCCAGCATTCTGGGAGGCCAAGGTGGGAGGGTCACTTGAGCTTGTTGGGCCGTAGAAATGTACAGCCCGTTTGGGAGAGAGAGACGACCGCCCAAAAAGACTCAGAGTCCAGAGGCTTGATGCAAGAGAGCAAGAGGATTTATTTCCAGCGCGCGCAGGGGCTAAACAGCATCACCAAGATGGGGAGGCTGCCGCGCCGAAGCTCTCAAGCTTAGGGTTTTTATGGGGCGAGACCACACGCAGGTGGCCGGGGAGTTTAGGGTGGGGAAATTCCAGTAGCTCCATGTTGCACAACCAGTTGCACGACCACTACCCAATTCCGAGAACTTGCAAGGGACACTTACGGGAAAAGATAAAGAAAAAGGGAGGGGTAGGGGTCTTAATTACCTATGAGCAAGCATAGTTACAGAAGCGAAAAGCTGGTTAGGCTAGTTTGGGCCTTTAGGCTAGTTTGGGCCTTTAGGCTAGTTTGGGCCTTTCAAGCTCAGGAGTTCAGGAGACCAGCCTGAGCAAGAGCAATACCTCTTCTCTACCAAAAATGGAAAAATTAGCCGGGCATTGTGGCAGGTGCCTGTAATACCAGCTGCTCAAGAGGCTGAGGCAGGAGGATTGCTTGAGCCCAGGAATTTGAGGTTGTAGTGAGCTATGATGATGCCACTGCACTCTACCCAGGGCAACAGAGTGACATTCTGTCTCAGAGAGAGAGAAAGAGAAAGAAAGAAGTAAGTTAGAGTTTGGTACTTTTGAGTACTTTTGTATACTTTGGAGTACTTTTGAAACACAAAAGATTCTTTTCAGAACAATGAGTGATTCTGAGTTGTTTTCACAAACTTGGATTCTCCTTAGTTCTAACTGGCAATAAGAAGGATCTTTTAAGAGCAATATGTGAGTATGAGCTCATTTGTGTGAATACTGCTTTTGATTCATTATAATTCACCCAAATAGAAATGAGAAATCTTTTGAATACTTATTAAAGTTTACTAAGAACAATATGTGATTTTGAAATATTTTTCTCATGTAATGTTTCCATTTGTCTTAGCACTCAGAATAGTTATGGTGAGGGTATATTTGTCACCTTTTTTGATCAGATAAAGCTTACTTTCATCTAGGTTATTCTAGCAAGTAATAAAAAATTGAGTAAAATATATGAGCTGTGTGCACTAACACTGCTTTTTAAAAAAAATAAAACAATATATGATATTGAGCTTTTTAACACTTGGATTGCTTACTTTTACAAATACTGCCTTGATTCATGTATATACATACATATACATAAACACACACACAATACACATACATAAGCATTCTATTGGTGCTGTTTCTCTGGAGAACCCTAACTAATATATGAAGAATGATAGATTATGAGCTTATTTAACATAAACAGCTTAATTACATCTAAACATGCTATAACTCACGATGAGACTTTTTTTTTTTTTTTTTTTTTGCGACAGAGTCTCACTTTGTTGCCCAGGCTAGAGTGAGTGCCCTGGCGTCAGCCTAGCTCACAGCAACCTCAAACTCCTGGGCTCAAGCGATCCTCCTGCCTCAGCCTCCCAAGTAGCTGGGACTACAGGCATGTGCCACCATGCCTGGCTAATTTTTTCTATATATATATTAGTTGGTCAATTAATTTCTTTCTATTTATAGTAGAGACAGGGTCTCACTCTTGCTCAGGCTGGTTTCCAACTCCTGTACCTTGAGCAATCCGCCTGCCTCGGCCTCCTGATGAGACATTTCATTTGCAATGTCCCTGACCCTGGAGGAGGATCTTAGTTGGAAGTGTGGTTTCCTGCTTATTTTTAATTATTCTGCTAAGTTTCATATATATTTAATCTAATGCACCATAGGAAGTTATTTTAGATATGAATGTATGATTCTGACATTATTGTCACTTAAATTGCTTAGATTCATCCTAATTTGTTATAAGTCACAAAAAATAAGGAATCTTAGAGCAATGTGTGTTTGTAAGCTTATTTTCTCTAATACTGCTTAGATTCATGTAATTTGGCTCTAAGTCATGTATATTGCGCTATTTTACCATTGCACACTTCTTAAGAGGGGAATGTCTAATTCAGGGGTGGGGAATCTTTTCATGTTGGAAGGCTAAGTTAATTTAGCTATAACCAAATAAGGCAGTACTCAAGAAACTTCAGTCAAATACACTTAAAATGTACATTATTCTGGAAAAATCTAACTACTAGGTACTTACTAATTTCAAAAATGAAAACTATTTGTTAAAGTTAACTAACCTTTTAATGACTTTTTGTGTCTGCTTTTTGTTGGAAAGCATTTGAATATTTGGTTGCAGCATGGTCAGCAGTTTCAGTTGATCTTCTAGATGGGTATCTGTCATTTGTGACCTTAAAGGTGTCTTGATTTGGATAGGTAGGGGAATGAAGATTCACAGCAATAAGTGGTTGAAAAGCAAGAAAGCATTTTTCAGGCATGTTGCCAAAGTCATGGGTAGTCTACTGCATTTTTCCATATTTCAATTAGGTCTTTCTTAGCATCAATGACTTTAAAATGTCATCTGCTAACAGCTCAATCAATTCCAACTGTAGTTATTTAGATGCCTTGGTGATATCAACTAGGTGAGGCTGAAATGCTAATTTGAGTGTGATTCCTAGCACTCTGGGAGGCCAAGGTGGGAGGATTGCTCAAGGTCAGGAGTTCAAAACCAGCCTGAAAAAGAGCAAGACCCTGTCTCTACTCAAAATAGAAAGAAATT